TCAACATTTTATTTCTTTCTATAATTAGCAGGGACGATCAGCCCTGACATTACGGAAACGACCAAAACTTTTTCGGCAACGCTTTCAAATCGCGGCTGACCCTGCAAATAACCAGAACCCAACAGCGACTCCCACAGAGCACCACTGCCCCTGTCGACACTTCAGTCACGCGGCATTACGGCAACGCGTGCCCCGCGGTGGAAGATTTTTGCATACGAATTAACGATTCAATATTTCTATCCATTATAAATGAAGCGTCAAATGGGGCATGCATGCAGCACACTCATACATTCCTAATTTGCCCACCGAGTGTGCAGCGGCCGCGCTGTCGGCGGCGCCTGTAGGGCGCTGTCGTTATCCGCCAGAGAGGATTACTACAAAATCCGCGTCGCGTCCCGAACAGCAGTCCGGAATTTTTCCTCCAGCTGATGTACATTTTTTTATTTTATATATCGACCGAGAGACGACAACTGCTTTCTCGATTACGATGGATTGTTTATGGTGTTATGATTCTTAAATTCAGATCTGAACAATGAGTATATCGTTTTTCTAATTTATTATATTTTATTTTTGGTATTATTCTAATAATATTATTTTATATGTTCTCTGGCTTTCTATTTCCTATATGATGTCAAGTACTTCCTTTTTGTCGATAGTCATCTGCATTCCTCTATGCTTAGAATCGTCAAAAACAATGGTTCATCATTTTTTTAACTTACATACTCTTCTTAAACTCCGAACGTTAAGTACAAAAATCGTTTAAAATTCACCCCTGAACTTCGGATTCAAAATTTCAGAGATATTTAGACCAATTTATGGATTCAAAAAGAAATAAACAATATCCTCAACTGCTACTGTGAGTCTCGTCTCCTCTAAAAAAATATATCAGGAAAAGGAAAAGTTTTGACTGTCGGAACGAGGATCACAATGTCTTAAAGAGTGATTATCTATCTGTCACAGTCGGCACATTCCCCTAGAATTGTCTTCCTAGAATATCCAGATTAGTTGATGCGAACTTTCCCAGTCGACCGTTTAATAACCGAGTTAGGACTACGTGCGGTGAAGACTGACCGCGGGCACATTCCACGCCAATGATTTTACAGCATCCACGGCTCCCTTCCTGAAAATCATTCACACGTCATCGCCCGCGGCGGCGACACGGCCGCTCGCGAGGCCATCACCCCGTAGAAATCCACAAGCAGCCTCCTTTGCAGCTCGCCAGCGGCGCTTCGAATTGTTCCGTCGGAATTAATACCCATGAAATATTTATGTTTGCTTTCGACAACGCTATACGTGGAAACGTACGAGTAGCGTGCATGGAACATTTGCGATGCCATTTCATTTTCATTGCTTGCGGGCCGATAAAGCGGGGAATATTCTGCCCAAGCGATGGCCACGGGGCGCGCATACTGAGGCTGAAATACGCTCACGCGCGACTTGGAGCCGCAGCGTCAAATGCAGATAATACAGGAGCGCACGTTATTGCCACTGCCGCCGCCGCCGCCGCCGCCGGTGCCGCGCGTCGAACCCTCGGAAGCGTATGTCAGATGCGGGGGCGGACGGACCGACGCGCAGACGGAATGGTCGATATTGAATGTCAGGAATTAGCGTTCTGCGAAACTATGATGCGCTTTGCGAGTTCGCTGAATCATTTTGGGCATTAGAATATATGGATATCTAGAACAGCAAAATGAGGATTGAATGACTGATTATTTCGTTCTTCCGGGCATGTTAACTGCTATGGTGATTCGTCCCGGGAGTGTAGGGCTTGTTTTTCACGGGAGTTGGTCCATCTTCCCCCGCTGGATGACGACATCCGGCACTGACCAACACTTCGGCCTCAGACGGAATACGCTCTAAGCTACCGGCCAGTGTGGTAGTGTACAGCATTGAAATATTGGTTGTGTAAGTAGGGGGAGATGATAGTCCAAGGAAATGAAGGAAAGATCACGCGCTGTCCGTCGCCCGTTTGTTCGGGTACGGCTCGGGCAATCACCTGTTGACGATCGAAGAAACCACGGTAAACTACAGCGCAGAGCAGCCGGTCCCCAGGAATCTCCTTCAGGCGGCGGCTGAATTCGACCTCGCTACGCAGGGAGAGTCGAAAATCGTGCCATCGTCGGGACTCGAACCCTAGGACGCGCGGTCAAAGGCACTGCAGTGGCAGCAACTGATATACAGAGCCGCCTTTCGCGGTTAGCAAAAACGAGGTGAGAAATATCGGAGAGTTTCATTTTTGGAATCCGTAGAGCAAGGAATACTTCAATACATCGTCGCTCTAACGAAGAAACGGGAACAGAAATTGCAGCAAAATATGTAAATTTGAGGTATATTTTAATTTTTTCTCGCGAAAAAGTTAATTTGTAAGAGGAAATAGGAAAGTTTGAAAGTGTGACTACGATCTTGGTACTTTTGTTTAAGTGAGTAATGATAAACGTATTCACCCTAATTTACTTTATTTTTGGCTTATCCTAAACACACTTTTCTTGCATATTCACTTGCTTCAATAACTTTGATTTTTTATTAAAACATGAACAAACACTAATTTAAAATACCTATTATGAATATTTGGTATACTGTAAGTATTTGGTGAAGGGTTTATGATTTTAAGTACAACAAAACTGCGTTTAATGTGAATATTATTTTCATCTACAATGTATCTTCAGAATGTTGCATCTGCTCTTTTGTATTCAACTTAAACTTATTGAAAGATCATGATGGCTAACTACAGAATTCAAAGTTCATTTAATTATTAATTTATTTGAGTTTGCTGAAACAAAATAAATAGATTTCCTAAATGTTCTATTAGTTGAGATTTAATTTAGATAATTTATGATTCGCCACAATTTGGCATTTGAGATTAGATATTGGCAAGCCACATCAAGCCACTTTGGCAGAAGTGTAATTCAAAGTTTAAAAAATTCTTTAATTACTTATTTTTATTAAAATGATATTAATTTATTTAAAATATATGGGATTCATTAGTGTTTTATTACACTACGGTCTTAGTAGTTTTTCAATATCTAACAGAAAAAGAAAATGTAAATATCTTAATTTCTTGGCAGAAAGGATCGTCATTCTCTAAGGCTAAGCGCCTTAATTCTAAGATAACAAGGACTCATAAAGTAAATGTACATGAACAATGTCATCGAATATGTATTGAGCACAGGTCAATTATTAAATAAAAACAAATCTAAATGTTGTAGATATCTACGTTTGGGCCATTTATTTGGTATTACTGTATCAGAGCTTCTATTGTTGCTTCCAATACTTATCATATATAATATGTGATGTACACCCTTGAACATTTGTGCAACTACATATATCTCAATATATGATGTCAACAATTATAGAAGTTCTAATGAAGTACCAACAAATGGCAGAAACGCAGGCCATCAAATATTTAAATTTGTTTTCGTTTACTAATTGGCCTAACCCGACGACCAATCTAAATACATTTACAAAAGAGATCACAATGAAATAATGTTCGTTTTATAAAAAGCATTATTATAATTAATACAAAAAAAATGTATGGAATTTTAAGCCTTTTTTTGGTGCCGAAGACAGAAAAAGTTATGATTATTAAGAACCCGTGAAATTTTCATTGTACTATCAAAATTGAAATTCGTGACTGGTTAATACGTAAAAAAACGACTCAAATAAACGATAGACTCACTAAGAATTCTCTCTCATGTTCAACAAGCAGCACGAGAACTTGGTAGGATTGAATTTCACAAATATTTCTCCAGCAATGGATGTAATGTAATGTCATAAAAGCTGATTACAATAGAAGTCTACATTATATATTTTAATGAAAAATTAACTGAATGAAAGTACTGAAACGATTAGTGCTGTGGTAGAATAGCCTAAATTGTTTACAACGCAATTGTGATGTACATGATTCATTTAATGGCCATGGACAATAATTAAACATCATGAAATAAACAGATCATGAATACCAGCACTAAAACGTGCGTGTGTACTGCTTTGCAATCAACCGTACATAGCGGTACAGAAAATAGTAATAAAAACACAACTTGGCTTATTTACTTGAAGGAAATGCGTCAGTAAGTTCTAAAAACGTTTGTTATAAAAATAAAGTATACTATTGATTATATATCTTTAAAGATTAATATATTTTACAAATGAAGAGATGTGGTTTGTCTGTTTCACTGCGGGAGCTGGTTTACCCGGTATCACGCCACCCACGGGTAAATCCCATGACGTCTAGGTCTAGGTATGGATACTCGCGAATAGAGGAGAAATTAATGTGTAGTCGGAATCGCGCGTACGGTAACCCTGCGACCCCACACGATGACGTATATAAACTAGGGACCAGTAGGAAAATAAGAGTTAAATTCATATGTAAATTGGGGACCTACCCAGAGCATGGTACATTGAAATTGGAGACCGGCTACTTCATCCCCTTTCAGATATAGTGAAAGGTGATGCTTTATTTAATAAGAAATTTTCCATAAGAATTATTTTAAAACACTAATTCCTTTCCAATTTACTTTGAGTTGGCATATTTCTTTCCAAATACGGCTTGGTTTAATTTAGTTTTCATTCAATTGAATCATTCGTTGATAGAATGATTTGGGTCATTTTGATGTACCAAAAGAAACGTAAACTCTGTTGCTCTTCAAAACTCGAAAAGTAAATGAGACTATTGCCACTGGACCTCTTCGAAGAATTTCCATGTCTAGCGAGTATAGAGAAAGATACAAGGAATTCCTGGACACCAGGGCGACGGCGGCGACCCTCTTACCTGCTCAATCAGTCATTTCTTTACCTGGTTTGATTTGGTCCCAAATTTACATGTATAATTACAAGTACACAGATAGTTCACATGTAGAATTATAAAGTTTCACGAGATACGATGAATCAATTATTTAGTCCCCAATTTGCATTCGGCCCCACACGGCACGCCGCAGCACACAGGAAAATCCCTTGCCTTCCGCGTTCCAACCTCGCATGTGTGCGGCTGGATGCGCACTCACCTTGCGGCCGTTGACGACCCACGTGAGGTTGGTGGGCGGGTTGGAGGCCGGCGAGGAGCAGTTGCCTCGCAGCGTGTCGCCCACGGCGTAGCGTAGCTTCTCCATCGACAGCTTGGGCTCCCCTTCCGGCAGATCTGGAACAGGGCCAGGCGCGCGCGTCACCCTCCGCGTCGCAGGCAGCCGCTTGGGCGCGCCCTTCTCCTGCTTCGCCCCCACGCCCTAGTGGCCCATGGGCGCCCGTGGGCGCTCGCTCGCCCACGCCTGGCGGAATCTATTACGGAGGGCATGCGCGCTAAGATCGATTTGGACGTATTCATTTAAGTGGACGTGTTATCAGATCGTTGTATCTAAAGGGCAGCCCTAAAGCAAAATACAACAACAAGAAATTCAAACGGGAAGAAAATGCTTTATTACATGTAATTGTAGACATTTCAAGTAAGGTCATTTCTGTGATGTAAACGAACTAATAATATGGCACGTGCGACAATGAGTTCTGAAGATCATGAAAAGGTGATTCACTATCAAATAGAGGGTGCCACATATTGCAATCTTAAAATTTTGTGAAAATACTATATAGAATTTTGAAGTTACTGTATAGAATACTATGATTAATTTTGATAATAAAGAAGGAATTCTGTGTATTTGCTCATTTCGCTGTTTATAGACGCGCTAACGGAAGTGTATTAATTATTAAGAACTGAAAGTGGTCTTATAAAACTAAGAATATCTTATAGAAAGCGCTATAAATCATAAATAAAATTAAATGAGTGAAAAGACACAAGATATAATACAAATACATTGAATAATTTTACTGTTGATAAATTAAGTTATCTACCTCTAATTTAATAACTTTTAAAATACATGTAGCAAATATTCTAATTTTTAACTTAGTTGAAAATAACATTTACAACAGTATCATACAGTAGAAAGTTTTCAAAAGTCCTACTCAACATATTCTAAAAAATAATCAATGCTATTGGTACAATATAAACTTGTTGAACCTGATGCGGAGATTCAGGAGTTTTTATATCATTTTTTTAAAAGTGTAAATGGTTTCACATTCACGTTTCTGACACCTCGTGATACAAAGTGATGGTATCCTGTTCAATTGTAACAGAACGTCCAGAAATGCCTCATTTTGTAGCCTATGATATACGCCATGTAATTAGAGTCCCTTTAGTAACACAAAAACTGAATTTTTTGAGCTTAGGACGCGTAGTTTCTGTGTTATTCACGATGCTGACGTGTGTTTCAGTCTAGCGTTTGTCGGATTTGCACCTGCTGCTTTCTTTATAGCATTAAAGCAAAATAAAAAAATATCGTTCAGAAACTGTTTGCTGCATACCTAGGGGAGGGGGAGTAATTTACTCCTTTTCAATTGCCCAGTTACGAGGTTTTGTCTAATTAATGTCTAACTAATCTGACAAACCCATCATCTTCCCGTAGTACATAATATTTAGAAGACAGGGTAGAAAAATTAGTTTGAAGGTGCGTCAATTAAACAAATTCGCATGTGCATTTTCAATGAGTGGCATTTATCTTATATCATATAAAGTAACACGTGCATTTGATATCCCCCTCGGATAATACCCGATTTGTGAGCAAAGCAGCGTCGTGTCGGGCGGCGTAATGCGTGCTTCAGTTCACCCACATTGTGCATGCACGCCCCACCGGAATAGAAGCTTTATTTATAATGGTCGGGCACGCAAATTTATTTATAATGTGCTTCAATAAATCATTAAGCGACACGCACGTGGTGGAATTAATCCATTTCGCAATTCTGGCAGCGACAGCGTTTTGGCAGCGGGTTCAATGAGAGAATGTTGTCGTAACTCTGAGGTCAACTGGAAAATTTGCTTTTGAGCCTTGAGAGATTAAAAATTTGGCAATAACGGTTTTCACATGTACATGTATTATCACTTACGAAAGTTAAATTCCAATCAATGTGAGATGTAAATTCGGATGAATGTCATTTTAATGTTTGGAAAAGTCTGTATATTTTTGACAAAATTAATTCAATTTTATTTGTGAATTAATTACTTAAGATCTCAATACGGCTTACCAATACCTGTGAAAGAATTTACGTATTGTACTGTAGTTCGAAAAACATTATTGTGGGAACCTTAGAACATTCAAAACAGCGAAGTGTAATTTTTCTACACATCTTGACGAATAAAGTTTTTTGCATTAGAATGAATATCAGAGCCATAATACGACTATCGTTTCTGCAATATCCAGCATATTGTGTTTCTTGATGCAGCAGGCGTTAATCAAAAACTATGCATTTTTTTAAAATGATTATTGTAAATACCAGAGCCAATGATACGATAAAGCTAAAAAATGCAATCCAATAATTTCTGCACTAATTTCTGCAAACGTTTAAAGCAATATAAAATAAAAACTGGCGAATATGTTTGTGCCGAACATTATTGTTTGCAAAAATATGTCAAAAACGTGAGAGTTATTTTCTGATATAACTGACATAAATACTTTTAAAAAATCGTGTATTGTTTATCATTGAATGCTTCTAGAAAAAGAATATCCGATTATTAAACACCCACATCTCAGACACACACACAATGACTTGAACTAAACAATGACATCAGCAGAAACTACATGAAATTTTGGGCTTAAGCGTAAGCCAAGTGTTTCTGGAGAAAAACGCCGCTGCAGCGGACAGAGTTTATAACAGATTTCCTTGGCCTCGGAGAATTGGGCTACAAATTTTCCGTGCGCATCTTAATTACCTCATCCTTTTCCCTGGCGTATCGTTCTTAATGAATAATTCAGCGCAGCGCCCGTCTAGAGAGACTCGCCGATCCCGCCCTTACACGGCTTAGGTGGCGGGCGTCCCCGACTAGTGACCGCACTGGCACTGCCAACTCGAGGCGACTCCGGCTATTTTTAATATGCAGATCACTGCATTAACACTATCGATATTCAAATGGCGGCAAATAAGCGGCAGCAAATGACCGCCTCCTTAATATGCGTATTTAGCAGTGTGTGTATTCAGGAGATGCAGATTCATAATGAGACAAGCGCTGGTGTAAACATGAAGACAAACACTGACGCATTAAAAATACAATGTTATTCGGAAACGATGCGTCAAAACTAATTAATTCTCTCGTTTTTGGAAACAGTGAAATACATTTTCACGTATGAATGCATCCAGCAATTTTTTCGCTTTGAAAGCGTCGATGAAAATACCTGAATGCAAATTCGATTCATTTTTTACACTCTTCGTTAAAAATTAATTCTCTTATTCTTTCGTGAATGAAAAATGGGCGTTTGGAAATTTCATTTTCTGTACAAATGTCCAATTTATAAGATAATTGTTTTAGGAAGTAATGATGTAACGAAACGTGGGCAAAATTCCAGCAGCTATTATGTCTAAACCAAATATTCGCTGATGCTTACTAGCAACGTATTGAAAATGACATTTTACGTCTAGTTAGAGAGTCAGTAAATGTACAGACAAAACATAGGAAGTAAAATTCCAGTTGGTGAAAAATCTAGGATAAATATATGCTATGAGACTCTCCTATATATTTTTCTATTAACAATACAATCACCGGTTCGAATAAGGTCTTCTATTTTACACAGTTCCTTGCCAATTACTGCACATATTAAGTTTTTGAGTTGTCATAGAAAATCTTCTTCTCTATTATATAGGTATCAGCCTATTTATGTATGCCTATCTACTTGTTCCAAACAACTTTCGAATAATTACACTTAAGTGATTTGCCCCTAATATTGTTTGGGAGCCAAGAATGAAAGTAGAGCGGATTGCGATTCTAAATTTTCGCCAAGAAGTGTTTGCATTCTTTTTATAATTCTTAGTTTAATAAAATACGCAATGCCCTTGGCAAAATTGACGGGAATTGCTAGGCGAAGTTAGGAAGGGACGAACCGAAGTGGTTGAGGAGAAGGTAGCGAGCGAAGTGCGTCGAGAGGGCTAGAACGAGGCGGAAGGGCCTGTCGTGGTGGGAGAAGATGGGGGAGCGAAAGAAGTGGGAAGGGCCGGCCAATAGGGCGGAAGGAAGGGTGAAGATGGAGCAGGTAGGGCGAGTGGAGCTGTTTAACTTATAATTGGGAGAAATACCCGGGTAAGTAAGGATAACCAGTTTGTAACCTATAAAAAATGGTCGTAATCTGTGGGAGTGTTTATGTGGAGGATTGTTCCTCAATATATTATTGAATCATTAGGGCGATTGTTGTAGTTTTGCAGAAACACTTAAGCACCCAAAAAACAAAATAAGGGGATCATACGTTGCTTCAATTTTGTCTACTTCCAGAAAATATTTGTGGAAACTTCCAATCGGACCAATGCGGATTAACGGCGGGCGTCGGCGCTGTTGCTAGGTCCGGCGGATTGGAGCAGGGGGAGCATAAAGTACTCATTCATTTCCCGGTAATGCTAGTAATGTTACGCATAACTTCATTAACATTTCTTTCACAACTGAGAGTGGATAGGGATAGTATTTCCACGTGGGAAGTTGGATATGCAGCAGCTTCCCTCCCATCGGCGCGAGATGTATGACCATCGCAATCAGAAATACATATGGGAGTAAACACCTACATGAACCTAAATATTGCAAACTGCGTTTGATATGTATTGTAGTGAGTTTTCTATGCCATCATACCTTATACTTTGTCTTCAATCATTAAATTATAATTGGAAGCGTAAAATTAGCAAGAGATTACGTACACTTAAACTACACACTTACATTCTAGAAAACAAAAAAACAAAAATCACACGGCAGAAGAATTATCACAAGCTCAGTTACAAAAGACGACATCACTCTCGAAAGAAAAACACATTTCTAAGGGACCTTTCACACCCATACAGTTCGCAGAGCTTCCAAATGGCGTTTCAGATGACAAGCGTTGATTTAAATGCAAATATTCGCGACTGTGATGCTGCAATGGCGAACCCTCCCCCCCAGCGCAGATACGTTCCTGCAGCCCCGCCTGCAGAACTCATTTCTAAGCGGCAGCCTCCACACAAGGCTTCTCGGAGGTGCCACTGAGCTTATTGGTTGATATGTTGACTGCCATGCGCCTGCAAAGACGGCGCCCAAAGCGGTGAGTCACAAATCCTTTCTTTCCTACGCCCA